GGGCTGATCCGAAGCCAGGAGCTTCCTCCAGGTCTCCCACGTGGGTGCAGGGGTCCAAGTACTTAGGCCATTCTCCACTGCTCTCCCAGGCACACCAGCAGAGAGCTAGATTGGAAGTGGAACTGCCGGGACTTGAACCGGCGCCCTTATGGGATGCTGGCACCACAAATAGTGGCCTCACCCTCTATGCCACAGTGTCAGCCACAGCCTTAGAGGAAGTTACCACTTAACACGTACCACACACTCACTGTGTGGGATGACTTGAAGTGTTGTGTAGATATTTACCTAGCAAAAAATAACATTGGGTCTCGTAGAAAATTATTCAAATTTTAGTAAACTTCCAATTTGCCTGATTAGGTCAAGGTGGCCACTTCAGTGTCAAAGGTATGAATCCCAGTTCCGCTGCAGGTGATCTGGTCAACCTGACAAATTAATTCATCTTGTCAACGCTCCCAATTGCACTGGGGGCAGCTTAGCAGGGAAGTGGCCTGAGTTCCACATTGGTTCACAGAGGACTTGGGACCAGAACCCAGCCCTGGACTATAACTCACCAGAGACCCACTGTTCTCTTTGACAAAAGCAGCTGCAAACAAGCAGTGACCCTGCCCTGGCACAGTGGCTGGCACTGAGCGAACTGAGTGACACGACCTGATTTCTCTGGGTAGTCATGAATTTGCTCTTAACGCGTCTGGGGCAGTGCCTGCTGTCCCCAGAGAGCTGTTTCCTCCTCCCTCCACAGTGACAAGTCACTGGCTGTGGGCTAAGTACATGTCCACTCAGAAGAAGGCCTACATTTCCCACATCCTTTGCAACTAGGTTTGGCCATGTGACCAAGTTCTAGCCAATGGGATACAGGCAGATGGGCTGTGTGCAGTGTCAAGGAAAGATTTCTCTTTGTTTTGCTGGAAGGCAGAGAGAAAGAGAGAGCACCAGAGAGATAGGGAGAGGTCACTCACCAGCTGGTTCACTCCCCCAAAGGCCAGCAACAGCCAGGGTTGGGCCAAGGTCAAGCCAGGAGCCAGGAATTTTATTCAGATCTCCCGTATGGGTGGCAAGGACTCAAATACTTGAGTCATCACCCTGCCTCCCAGGAATTGCATGAACAGCTGGAATGGAGAGTGGAGCAAGCCTTCATGATTAAGAGATGAAGGTGTCACGGGGACAACTTGACCACTGCACCCAATGCCTTCCCTCTAAAAATGGCTTTTAAAGGAGGCCTCCTTCCTACGACTGGAATGCAGATGCAATCTGCATGGCTCTTTAAGGCCATTGCTGAGGCTGGCAGAGCCATGAGACAGAGAGAGCCTGAGTCTCTCACATCACAGGGCAGTATAACCGCAGCAGGAGACCCTCAGGCTCCCTACTTTGATACCTAAGCCTGTGTAACGTACTGTAATTTTCCTTTTTCCCTTACCACTGGCTAATTCTATCTGGTCCCGTATCCCCTTTTCTCCCCTTTCATAGTAACTTGCATCCCTTAAACAACAAACTGATGGTTATTCGGGCAGGATCAGCCTGGGAAAACCATGATCTCAATCCAGGGTCCTCACTTGACAGCTGCCCCCATGTTTACCCCTGGTGTTACGTCGGCTTCCCCAGACAGGCAAGGGGCCCTCGGAGCTCCACGATGCCTGTTCCAACACCACCAGCATGTCCAGGCTCCTAGGAATCTCTGTCCCTCGTGGGCCTCCCTCAGTCTACAGGAGTCTGCTCCCCTGGGCAGAGCCTCAGACTGGGAGCAGGAGCCCAGCCCCAAGACTCTGGGATTCTCCAGGTCCCCGCTGCCCTCACTCGGGCATCCACATCTTCCTGCCCCAGTCGCTGACACAGCCTGGGGAAATAACTCTAGGGCGAAGGCGCTGAGTCAAGCAGGCCCGAGCTCAAGCCGCAACCCTGCCACTTCCCAGCCGCATGGCTGCACCTCTTAACCCTCAGCTTCCTCGCTATCAACTGGGGTGCAGAGGGGAACCCACTCCACGACGGTGACAGTGCTCACAGGGAGCAAGCGCGGAGGCACACTAGCTATTATTATCGTCATTTTTATGATCACAGACCAAAGGGGCTGAGCCTTGGGTCCCTGCCAGGCTGGGGACCTGGCTGTCCGCTTGGCAGCAAAGCCGAGCATCTGCAGGGTTCTCAGGGAACAGACTATTTTAGGCTCTGGCCAGGCCAAACCACAGCTCTCGCTGTGTCTTGTTACTTACAGGGCTCCTCTGGCAGACACAGGGGCAAGAAACTCCTCTAGCAACGCCTCAGGCAAGGCCTGTGGGTTCAGCCACAGCGGCCACTGGCCTCCCTCAGGGCTCTACCCCAGCAGTTGTTTCTCTGCTGTAGAAAAGGCGCTGGGCGTCCCCTCCCTACTCCTGGGAGCCAGCGTCCCAGAGCCAACATGGGGCACCCTGAGCCGGCCGGAGCGCACACATGCAGCCGGCACAGCAGAACTCACAGGTAGGTCCTCAAAGTAACCAGAGCGGACCTACACTTACTGATCGACCGCCTCCTCTCTGGCACCTGCTTCTGAAGACGGACCAGC